AATTATTTATACCCCCCCCCCCCCCCCCGCCGATATTTCAAATATTCAGGTAGTTTGTCAGAATATCAGAATTTCTTATGGCAACAGACGTTTTTAGTAAGAAAATAATTGTTCAGATGCAAACCCAATTTTCACCCAATCCTTATTCTCTCAGTGTCTGGCAGGAATTCTGTGTTGGGAAAATATGAATGCCACACTAGTGGCAAAATTCCAGGTACACTGCCTCTGAACCTGAATGTTATAAATTCAGGAAGACATTTTAACACCTGCAACATTAATAAGTGTACTAAAGGAGGAAGCAAGCTACTGACATATTTTATGCAACAGTGCTCTAGTCTCACTGATTGTAGTTCCCATACAGATCATATAGGTAACAGTACAACAAATTCATTCACAAAATCCACTTTTTTTCTGCTAGTGGAGACTGCAGTTAGAAAACAAACATTTTTAATATACTTCTAACAACTGACAATTACATGAACTGTATAAAAATTTAATAGCTAAATGCAAACAGTGTGCACCAAATATCAGAGCCAAATCCCACTGAAGTCCGTGACAGAGTTCCTTGACTTCTGTAAGAACTAGATCTGCATCCATGTCCAAAGTGGTTTCAGTCTCATAAATGTCAGCACAGATGAGTATTTTGGTCACACAGATGAATTTCATGTCTTACATGCATGAAGTTTACATACTTTGAGTAGTTAAGCATCTACACAACTTGTATAAGCATACCTTGTTTTGCAATCAAATGTTAGTATTTATGCTCAAAAGTAACAATATGGGAGAAAAAAGTAAATTTAGAAAGTTTTTAAATGTCTGCCTTCAACAAAAATATACTTAACATGTCATTACTGAATGACAAGAAAATGGAAATTAAAATTCATGTTTATTTTAATCTTTACAAATTGCACCGAAACTATCTGCAGAAAACTGGACCTTAATAGTTAATAGTATAGCCTGTAGGCCAAGAAAATTAGTTCAAAGTCTCAGGAACTTATGTTTTCATTCAGCAAAATTCCACACAGTTCTAATCCTATAAACATGTCTCCGATTGTATGATCCTTACTCACAACAACCATCATTTCACTTCAGCTGGTACATTCTGAATCCAAAGAGTATCAGAATTGGTCTACAGTCTTAAAATTATACTATATCGCAATATGGATTGACCAATAAATGTGCCACTAAGGATGCATTTTCTCTCTCACGCTTCCAAAAGAAGGCTGCACAATATACAAAATCTAGGAAATAGTTTTGATTTGCTTTAATCAAATTGGTGATCAAGGTCTAACATTTGAAATATATTTTCTTAATCCCTACTCAAAACAACTTATTTTGTGAAAGATACACAAATCTTTACCCATTCTTCAATACCATATCCCTGTGTCCAAAAAATTACCTAAGCCCCCAGATAGGTACAGATGGGTGTACATTTATACTTAGTTTACACAAGCCATGTTTCATCAATGATAGCAGATTATTGTAATGCCAGTTCTGAAAGATTGTAATGCCAGTTCTGAAAGAATCCAATTGAAGTTAAAGTGGAGGTATGAAAGACACTTCCCCCACTTCCTGTCGTACTACAACATGATGTAGGTCATCACATTTTCTTAGGTGAGTTAAGTAGTCATGCAGAAGAGATAAATAAGGTGCTGTTTTTAAAATTCCACGAATGACCTATGATTGGTAGATAAAATGTCATCCGATTTTGCGAACACAACTTTGATTTCTCAGAAGTTATGAGAGCTAGTCCTTTGCAACATAGAAGCAAGTGAAGAGGTGAAATTTGTCTGCATACTGGTAAATGGGTTCATTGAAGGAGTCCCTTTAAAATATTTTCTTTGTGAATTCAATTGATATCAAAGAAGAACAAGCCTCTCAGACTGCTTCTTTGGTAGGGATGGAGCTTTTCAATAGACTAATCCTCTGTCTGAGTCAAAGGAAACACAGGCGAGAATGAAAGACCATCTTTGCAGAATTACACAATAGGGTTTGCAGGGGACATCAGGTTTATTCACATACATTCATCCTTAAGGATAGATCTTCTCTTCATGACAGAGGTGTGTAATGTGTGTATGTGTGTGCTTACGTATACTGAGCACAGAATTTCTCTCCTTCATGTAGTTTCTAGCTTACACTTAATACTGCTTATAAGATACAAGACATAGTTTTCCATTCAAGACCTGTCTGGTGTTATGTGAACCAAATAATACTTCAACTGAATAGAGGCCATATATATCATGATATATAAATTACAATAAATACAAATATTTCTATAAATATTTTCTACATTTATACTCACCTTCTAACCTTGCTGTTCTGGAAAGGTTCAACTATACAATTTAAACATAAAAATCCTCCCCAGCCCCATCCTCAAATTTTATTTTTAAACTAGTAAATCAAAATGACACATCCAAATTAATATTTGACACAGACACCCACTGGACTGCCTGTTCTTAAGGGTAAGGTCATATCATGGTTTCAGTTTCTCCAGACACTTTTTACTTCCTTCAATATCTTATACAGCACTGTTTTACCCTTCCATCATAATGTACCCAGCATGACTGATTCTTCCTTCTGCATCTCCAGTTTTAATGGAGATTCAATTTTTCTTTTTTTTTCCTAAATGCCAGATTATACCTCTGCGTAAAATCTGTAGTCTTAAAAATCAAATGGGTGCTGGCAGCACATAGCGCTTGAAAAACTAAGTCCTGAAATTCTGAACCTTTCATAACTAATGGAAAGAATCTCTCCTAACACAAGCCCCTCAAGTTCCAGTAAACTCATGGGGAATTACGTCAGTGGACATGTAAAATACTGAAAAAAGTAGAATAAGGTCACAATTTCCAAATAAAATTTAAAAAGTAGGTAAATAATGGTGTTGTCCTATTTGTCCTTATTATTCATGCTTTCTCTTATTCACGTTCCCTTCGTTTCAGAGTTCCCATTGAGCAGCTTCTGTAAGGTTGTTGGGCCAATGACCTATTCCAAGATCACACATTTGCGCCTGGATGGAAACAATCTGACTCGGGCTGACTTGCCACAGGAGATGTACAACTGCCTTCGGGTGGCTGCTGAGGTTTCACTGGAGTGAGATACCTGGGAGCATCCATTTCCCTTCTAGGGGCAGTAACTACAGGAATTACATCATGATAGCTCTTTAAAATTAGGGTATGCCTTAAAAAAAGTGTCAATCTGCGTATTATCCAGTCTGTTTGTTAATATTTAGCATGCACTTGGCAGCCTTAAGGTAATGTGTGCATATTTTTACAAACGGTTGTATTTAGAAAGCACAAGAATGACCAAATGTGGTGCAAAATATGCCTTCATCCGGCTAGGTAAGTTGATGAAATCGTTCAACTTCCTTGAAATCTATGTCCATGCATGCAATACATGCAAGCTGGTACCAGATTTACATGGAAGTCAGGTGGGTTTCATCAGAGTGCTGAGCAGTATAGACTAGTGTGTGTAAATACAAGATTCCTCTCCAACCAATCCAGCTTTTTTAATTATTCATGTCTTTTTCGTACTGTTATCAATTACAAAGGAAAAAGAATGATTTAACAATCTAAAACCAATTTAAAATTTCTGAAAATAAGTTTTCAGAGTCCATGACATTATTAAATAAATGGAATATGTGAAAGATAACAGGGAAACAAACATTTTTCAGGTTAAAAAATTGTTTACTTTTTTTTGGTCATACTTTCATTTAAACTTTCATAGTAAGATTTTTTATCCATTGCTGGTATAATTGTTATTTCAAAATAAGTCATATATACAAGTATTTTTATTCAATTACTTGCATGCTATTTTAACCAGATTGTAGAAAATAAAACATAGCAAATAGTATTTTTGTGTCCATATCATTGTCAACTATGTTTCAGTCTTTTATAAATTGAAAAAAAAAATTCAGGTTAAGACAAGATAATCTAAGCTATTCTATTATTATTAAAATTTATTGTAAGGTTAAATAAATTGTTTTCTCTACTTTGAAGTTTCCATATGTTTATAAATATACAATTTAACATACTCCACTGCACTTGTGTTGGCCATTAAGCCGATGCCTCCTGGAGTTTGCAGTACGGGAGTCACAGTACCATGAAATAGTGTAAATTAATTTCTCGGTATATATGTGAAAGATAACAGGGAAACAAACATTTTTCAGGTTAAAAAATTGTTTACTTTTTTTTGGTCATACTTTCATTTAAACTTTCATAGTAAGATTTTTTATCCATTGCTGGTATAATTGTTATTTCAAAATAAGTCATATATACAAGTATTTTTATTCAATTACTTGCATGCTATTTTAACCAGATTGTAGAAAATAAAACATAGCAAATAGTATTTTTGTGTCCATATCATTGTCAACTATGTTTCAGTCTTTTATAAATTGAAAAAAAAAATTCAGGTTAAGACAAGATAATCTAAGCTATTCTATTATTATTAAAATTTATTGTAAGGTTAAATAAATTGTTTTCTCTACTTTGAAGTTTCCATATGTTTATAAATATACAATTTAACATACTCCACTGCACTTGTGTTGGCCATTAAGCCGATGCCTCCTGGAGTTTGCAGTACGGGAGTCACAGTACCATGAAATAGTGTAAATTAATTTCTCGGTATTCTCAAAAGAACAATGAAAACTCTCAGAAGCCACAGGCAACGAGTAAAATGCAGCTTTAGCTACTCATGATAGAGAGATGGTAGATATTCTATATGGGAATGAATAGTCCAAATATTGTCAGCGTCCTGGAACACACACTAAAATATATGTGTTAGGAACTGAGAGACATAAATGGCTTGCTTGCAAACACAGATCATCCCATGGGTACTATTTGCCTTTTAACTACTAGATTATTAAACACTCACACAGAAACTCCTCCAGTTTCTATAGCAAAAACAGAAACTATCACCTCTAAAAAAAAAAAAAAACCAACAAGAAACGACACCAAACCATTTTGTCTGTACATTGCCAATTCCACATGTTCAGAATCAATACGGAATTCACAAACAAACCAGGGACTAAAACAAAAGCAGAGATGCAGGAGACAATAGAAATATTTCTCTCCTCATTTTTGTAATTTTGGAATTCATAAGTGTTATTGCTTTTTTTACACACATACAGGAAAGTTTAAAAGTAATCTTTGTTAAAAGTAAGCTAGAATTTTCATAGAAGAATAAAGTTTAAAACTGGGGTTTTCTGAACACATCAGAGTGGGAATCACTACAGAATATCACCTAGGTATTGTAACATAGGAGATGAAGAAAGAATTGCATGCAAAAAACCCCAAAGAACAGAAAAAGGTATGAGAAATAGCATTCAAATGTTTCCAGAGAGATTTTAACACAACAGTCCCCTTCACAGAAAAATATGCTAGACACTAAGGGGCACAAACTGATATTGATATATGTCAACACATAGCTGTGATCTAGCAAACAGGACAGAAATGTATTCTTCTTTTCAGATGTTTCAGCAAACCAGTTATCTTTATGCAAAATAAAAGTGTGAACACTGAGATTGAGAACAGTCAAGCTCAGGATAGATTAAAAATAGTATAGATAGATTAAAAATCTGTTGTTGAGGGTATTTTCTACATATTCATATGTTGTAAATAACGCATCCACAGACGTTCACAAGGTATTTTGAAGTTCGGTTCAAGAGATACAGTAGAAGGAAGCCCTCTGTCAAAATAGCAATAAGCACCAATGATCTCTCTCAGAAACTGGGGAATATTCACCTTGCAATGAGCACATGGACAAGAGAAAATAGCATTTGGTAGTACATTTGTATCTTGAACGCCTCTTTCCTGTGGTTCATACATTCCCAGTTACTTGGGGAGAGATAACATTGTCCAGCTTGCTCTTCACGTTATCTGTGAAAAATTTAGAACATGAGGTCCTTTTGCTAGAAGAGAAATGGGACACTGTACCCCTTTGCTTTCGTAACGTGAGATGCAGAAGCACAGGTTTCTGCTTCTGCATTAATGTATTGGTATAAATCACTATAAAGACTGTTTAAGTTCACAATCTCTTACACATCTTACAGAAACAAATAGGCAAAAAAATACATGTACGTTAGTTCTTAGTTTATGAAAGCTACATTAATTGTTTTCTAGGCACTAGGCAGAAATGTACGTGTTTGGGAATACTTAACAGAGTTAGAGCCTTGGAAACTGAGTCACCATATCTTGCAATTTCTGCCCTTCCTGGAAGGGAAGGTGATGCATCTTGGTTATAAAACCCTCAGCATTCTGGATACTGAAAAACATGAAAATTCCTGCTCCCTCCTAACCTGATCATATTATAAAATACTTATGTGCATAGGTGTAAACATGTTACTTAAAAGTAGGCAGACATGAACGGATAATAACAGAGCTGCACTAGCATGGAGACAGCCTAGTGGGTATAGTTTAGCTATACAATTTACTTACAATATGTGTGCCTCCTTCTTTCAGGTCAAAATGAGTAAGTTTGTCATGACACTCTCATATGAAGTTTCACATGGAAGAATTTTTAAAAATCAAGATCTTTTGGAAACATGGATTTGAAAGCAGACGTAAAAAGGAAAGTTTGCTACTAATGCCATGAAAAGCAGTATTACAACAACAACATACAAAATCAACAACCACTTTACCCATGAAATTTCAGCAACTGGCCTGCAAGTATGTTGCAGAGCCATTCACAAAGACAGAGTCACCTTTTAAATAAAGGAGTATTGTCTGATTTAAAAGACATTTTTCATATTAGATTAAATTACTGAAGTTCCCTAGAAGGAACGGGCAGTGACTCATGTGAATTTCTGGACATACACTGGAAGCATAAATCCTACATGATCCCCTACTCCTTTATAGAGTCCGGCATAGTCAAATGGATTAAGAAAAGAGTGTGCAGTGATTGATTACAGCTGTTCTAGTGCAAGGAACCTGGCAGGGTACCGTCCCTACTCACAAACCTTCAGGTTTACTGAAAGGGAATAAATAGGTAGTTGCTTAGCATGAGCCAAAGTATTTTGAAAACTGGGAACAAGAAGGTAAAACATCATTAAGAAAGGAAGTCTGAATTGTTAGACATATAGCTGCAAGAAGCATAGACTGAAGACTGTGAGGTTATAAAGCAAAATTAAGTTTAGAGGAGATCCACTAAGATGGAAAGCTGCAAAGAGAACTTCCCTCAGCCTTCTCCTTTACAGACTATGCCAAGTCACTTCCCTTAGACTCTCTGAATATACCATATGCCTCAGGCCCATGATTTGTTTCAGTCCTCCACTGCCTAAAAGAACACTATTAGGGAAAAAGGGGCCAGATTCAAGGGTGCACAAATGAAAAGACAAGAAGGCAAAGGAAAAGTTCCAAAAAGAGAAATTCAGGTTGAACATACAAAGAAATTCTTCCCAGTGAGCGTGTAAAGCACTGACAGAGATTGTCCAAGGAGGCTGCTGACTCTCCATCCTTGGAGATTTTCAGAACTTGCATGGGCAATGCCCTAAGGAACTGACCTGGCTTTGAAGTTAGCTTTATTTTTGGAAGGATTTTGAACTAAACGACCTTCAGATGTTCCTTCAAACTTATTTATAATTTCTGTGAATCTGTGGTTCTAAGAATACTAGTAACCAATGGGGGACAATATCAATTTTAATAACCAGCTCTATAGCTGAAGAGTTTTGCATTAAATTCATCTGGAAAATTTATCGTTTCAGGTTCCAGTCCATAATTCAGACTCCCATGATACTCACAAAATCATAACTCAGCTAACATTTTGATACAGATTCCATAGGTAAAAACTGTGGAAACTTTCCTTCAATGCCCAGATGTCTGCAGCTGGCTTATGCAAATCTGCTCCCATTTTGACATTTGTGAGCTACTGAGTGCTGGCAGTGAAGTCAGAGATCCATCCCATCTAACTCTCCCATGTGGGACAGCACTGGCAAATATGCTTAGATGTCTACACAAAATAAGGGGAAAAGTCTATGAGCTACCATCCCAGTAGACAGAGTGCTTGCTCACGGAGGACATTTTGTTCTGAAATTTTTTTTGAGTTCAGATATTGGATAGAAGTCTCTCAGTTTGTAAGGAAATAACTTAATTGGCAGGCTATATAGCTTTCATGGATAAATATATCTTAAATATTTTCTACTTAGTGTAAACAGTTCAACATTAGTTAGCACAGAGAAAGAAAAGGAGTGCTAACACTGAGCTTCAGGACACTCACTTTGAATGTAGGAATGTGAAGTTCAAGTGCCTTGGCAAATGATACCTTCATTTGCAAGGCAAAACAGCCTTAAAAGAAGAGGCTGAAGCACTTTTAATCACACTATACTCTGCAGCTTCTGAGATAAAGTTATGGTTGTGGGCTAGACAGGAGATAGTTGTGCCCATATCTCCACATGCTGGAACCACAAGAAGGTTCTGACGGGTCCTCTCGAAGAGGTGACCTACTTGAATGAGTTCAGAGGTGAGACTGAATTGCTCAAGGCTGTGAGCTGAATCACTGAATCACATAAACACTTTGCCCTGAAGATTTCAGTTTGGATACTTTAGGTTGTCCTCAGTTTAATAGGTTTTGTGGACCCTTAAGGTTCTAGGTGGATTTTTTTTGTCTGCATCTATATCCCTCCATCAATGTATATGAAAGGATAGGCATATAATAAGGAGCTCAGTGCATAAGGATTTCAGTGGGCAGCGGCATACCTGAAAAATTATGTATTGTTACTCTTTGGTGTTATAAACCATGATACTTTGTGAGTGTAACCTCTTCTACATATTTTTTCGAGGGAGTTATCTTTCTTTCCAGAATTTGAAATCTTAATATGCAGATCAGAAAACACACCATTTATAACAAGTCTTGATTACCTGAATAACTATTATTAAAGTATAATCCCCATATGCAGTATATCTGTGGTACAGCATACCCTTTTATTCTGAAATTGTTAAAGAAAAACAGGAAAAAAAGGACTTAATTGGAAGGCAATGAAGAAATGAGGCAAATAT